AGGCGGGTCCTTCGGCCGCTGGGGAGACGTGTGTGGGAGGCGCGTAGGTGCCCCGGGGAAAGGAGGCCCAGGCCCCGCTCCGCCGCACCCTCCCACCGCCTGCCGCGGGAGAAGGGCTCGCGGGAACGAGCTCCTGTCAGGCCGCTACCTGAGCAGCAGGAGAGGCCGGACAGCAAGAGGAGCGCCAGGGCGCCGAGAGAGGCCAGGGCCGCCATCGCCGCTTGTCTGCCGAGGGCAAAGAGAGGGAGCGCCCCGAAACACGCGGGGCAGACGAGGAAGCGCGACGCGTAGGCCGCCCCGGCAGCCAATCGGGCACCGGAGGGCCGGGCGCGTCCGTGACGTCGCGGGCGGCACTGACGTGTCCCCCCGCCCCGTTCCAAGGGCCCAGCGGCCGGCCTCCAAGATGGCGGCGCCGGCGCTCCCGGAGCCGGAAGGAGGCGGGGCACAGGCGCGGCCGCGCGCGTGCGCAGAGCCGGGCCCGCGGCCGCCTGGGACTTCGCGCTCCGCCGACCTCTCGCGAGAGCGGCGTCTGCGTGCGGAGGTCCGGGCTGCGCTCACTCGCCGTCATGGCCCTGAAGGTGGCGACGGCCGCTGGCGGCGCCGCGAAGACCGTGCTCAGGCCGGCCCTGCTCTGCCGTCCTTGGGAGGTGAGGCGGGGGGGACGGCCAGGGGCTTGCTGGGGTCCTCGCTCCTCGGAGGAGCGGAGCTGGGCTACCGCTCCCGCGCGTCCTGGGGCGCGATTGGCCGCGGGCCGGCCTGGGGCGGAGAGAGGCCCGCGCGCCGGGGCTGATTGGCCGCCTCGGTTGTCGGTGACGGGCTGGCCGGGAGTCGGCCGGGTCTCGCCCGCGGCGTCAGCTGTCGCGCTGCGGGAGCACGGTCCGCTCGGACGACAGGGCCGCGGCGGGTCGAGCGCCCCGGCGTCCCGGGGGGGGGGCCTCCCGCCCTCCTGCTGTGCAGGGGCCGCCTTTGCCAGTGTCCTCTGCGGTGCCCTCGGCGTCTGACAGCCTCAGGTGCCTCCCCCGCGGGCGCGACGTTGCGGGGCCACCAGTGCTTCGTCCAGGGCCTTGGCTTTGGGGTCGCTTCCACTCTGCACACTTAGATGAGGTTGATTTTGGCTCGGGGGGTCGAGAGCCACCTGACGCATGGTCAAGCCCACTGGGGCGTCAGGTAGGTGGCCACCAGGCCCTGCTCCCCCACTGCCCCATGCTGGTGACCTAAGATGCGACCTCGCTGAGCCACGGTGTCCGCCGTGTCCGGAGAGGGGCGAGGGCTCCATATTCTCGAGGGATCCAGTCAGTGTTGACCTTCCAGAACTCAGTGACTTTGCTCATCCCCTGCCATGCCCTGCCCCGCTGAGCCCTGGAGAGCTGTCCTGGGACTGCTTGTGCATTACCAAATTAGGGAATGTTGGATCTCCACCTCGCTGGCAAGAGGTTTTCTGGGGGTCCTGATGGCCCTGGCTTCTAGGACTCCCACAACCCCTCCCTGAAGACGTGGCTCACCCCCAGCTTGCCCTGGGTGTGCTCATGTCCTTGTGGGCCATGGGGCAGTGGGTGGCGGGGGGTCAGGCTGGGCCTTGCCCAGAGCCCGACCGTTCTGGGTATAGGAACCCTGAGAGCCCCCAGTCTTCAGTCCAATAGTCGGACTCGGGGCCTTCTGAGAGTAAGCGCTGCCACCAGGCGCTGCCACCTGAGTCAGCAGGAACGAGTGGGAGACGGGAACTCAGGAGGATGTGGCTGCCGGTGCCTGTAGCACTCCAGAGGACAGGGCCTGGCCCAGCACCTGCTGGCCTGACGGGCAGGCGAGCAGGCAGCAGGCTGTGTGTGCCCTGGCCCGCCTCGCTGCGCTCCGTTGTTGAGTAGCTTCTCTGGGAAGCAGGGCTGAGCCTGGGTAACGTCCTCTGAAGGCGGCTCCCCAGAACAAGGTCAGGGACATCATCTATCCCAAGAGCTTTCTGGATCTTCAGCCAGAGGCCAACAGTGCATCCAACCTGGGGACCAAGCGATGGAGCCGTTCGGCACTGGCCGTCATGTGATGGGTTTGCACAAATGCAGAACCCTGAGAAACGAGAGCTGGCCCAGACCCCGTCGGTGTGCCTCAGAGGGCTGAGGCCTAGGAGGGATCACTCCTGGGAGCCCCCCAATAGCACATCAGCCTGAACACTGGCCTGAGGGGCTGTGGGGTGAAGGGCCACTGTGCTCTTCCTGTGCACTGCTAGGGACGGAGAGCTCGCTCAGGTAACGTAAAGTGGGAGTGTCAGACCCTGGTTTTTGGGTGAGGCCGGAGCACGGCCAGGTGAAACCAGTCCTGCACTGTTACCTAGAGGCTGGTCTCAGGTCCCTCCTCTTTTGTGTGATGTGCTCGTCGTTCAGGACGTGTTCTTTGTGTCCCACCTGGGCCAGGCATTTCGTTGGGTCTTGGGGTGACAGGAGGGCACCGGATAGCCATGGCCTCGAGGTGTCAGGTTTGGGGAGCGGCATGACAAAGGGCGACCTTGGGAGATGGGGGGAGCAGGCAGGCCCCTGGGGTGGGCGTGGGGCCCAATAGGTCAGTAGCCTCAGGGCAGCAGGGAGGGAGTCTCTCTCCTCAGGGGAGAGCCTCGGGCCAGGTAGGGGCAGGAAGGGTGTGCATGTTGCTCCAGGGACAGCTCAGCAGACACCTCCCCAGGCTCCTGGGCCCTGACTGGGGCCGGCTTCCAGTGCCCCTGCAAACAGGCACCTTGGGGCCCCAGGCCGAGAGAGGCAGATGGCAGAGGTGGTCTCTGCCTCAGCTTTCTGGACCTGCAGCAGGAAGGCCTGACTCTGGAGAACGGCCACAGTGAGTCTGCCGTCTGCCAGAGTGCTCTGCTGCTGCCCCAGGAGGCCCCTGGTGCCACCCTGCCGCCCGCAGGGCCGGACGCCGGGCCTGTTCCCCAGGGATGCAGCAGGAAGGATACAGAGGGGAGGGCTGTAGCCTGCCTTCCGCCAGGGGATGACTCTGGCCTCCCCCCAGGGCACTGTGGGGGTTCCAGATGGGCCACTTCTCTGCTCCCGTCCCATTTGGCTCAGGTGACTTGCCCTGAAACTGCCAGTCATGCCACCGGTGTGGCGATGGGGACATTCGTCATCCGCAGAGGCCATGGAACAGCTCTTTGGTCCCTGATGGAAGCCGAGCGAGCGCCGTCGGTCCCGGCGAGCGCCAGGCTTCTGCACAGGCGGAGTCGGTGCTTTTTCGGGCCCCCGGTGCAGGACTAGGGTGCACAGGGCCGGCGGGCCCTCTCTTTGCTTCTCTCTGTGTTCTGGAGTTCTGGTGACTGCATGCTGCTTTGTATGAGAGACACTGTCGAGGACTAACTGAGCATTGTCACGGGCTCGTGGCTCGACAGCACGCCCTGTCACTGTTCAGTGTGCCGGCCCTTCTGGCTTACGGATGTCCTGACCACAAGAGTCAGCACCATGAAGGGGGGAGGGCAGCGTCCTCGGTAAGACCTGGACAGCCGGAGGCAGGGCAGCGACGTGGTGCTGGCTGCTCCTGGGGAAGTGGGGCTCAGGAGCCGTTTGGGGGTGCTGTCACCTGCGCACTGCGGTCTGGGGTGAGCGGGCTGCCCCAGAGACCTGGCATGGCGCAGTGGGGCAGCCCTGCTGTCTGGTGGAGAGCTCGGCCAGCTCTTACCCACTTGACTTTCCGGGCTAGACAGCCGCGAGCAGCCTTGGGTTCTCTTTGCCAGGTTCTAGGTGCCCATGAGCTCCCCCGGAGGAACTTCTCAGTGAGTACCTGCCCAGGTGTGCGCACACCGTGCATGTTTCTGTCTGCCTGCGTGCCTGTCGGTGCGCGTGTGCACGCGGCCGCGCAAATGCCTGTGCTTGCGCGCACACGTGTGTTGTGCACATGTGCGCGTGCTCGCGCGCGTGCCTCTGGGCTGCCTGGCTCTTTGCCCTCCCCTCTGAGATGCGGTCTCCAGAGCTCGCCCTGCGCTGCGCTGGACTGCGGGTGCAGCCTGGTCCTCAACCTTGGCTGATCGTGTCTTCTTCCTTCCTGTGCTCTCTCTAGCAACAAACAGTTGTGAGTATTCTTCTCGTCTGCCCGTTAGGTTTGGGGCTCTTAGATGCCTGGGAGCGCCCCAAATCCAGGTGGGGTGGGGACTGCTTCCGCAGCTCTGATCAAGGAGCCCCCGTAGCTGCCCTGTCTGGGGTGGGGTGGGCCAGGGTCGGGGCTAGGCACCCTGGACTGGCCAGCCCTCCGGGTGGCTAGTGGTGGGAAGAAGGGACTGAAGGCTGCCTTTGCCCCCTCCAGCCACCCTCGGCTAAGTATGGCGGGCGACACACGGTGACCATGATCCCCGGGGATGGCATTGGCCCGGAGCTCATGCTGCACGTGAAGTCCGTGTTCAGGTACGGAGCCTGCGGGCTGGGCTTCCAGTGCGGTGCCCGGGAGTCTTTGTGCCTGGTGCCTGTGCGCGCCAGGGCGGCCTGCGCATGCGAATGGCGGCACCCGTTTTGCCAAGTGTGTGGTGGAGCTGAAGCGCGTGTCCGTCAGCTGGTATAGGTGGGCCCCATCTCCTCTGAGTTGGAGCCAGGCCAGGGTGGGCAGCAGTGGGGGAGGGGCCTTTATCTCCAGCGGTCCAGACAGGCTTCCTGGAGGAGGTGCGGCTGGCCGCCCTGACCCTGCTCTGCCTCAGGCATGCGTGTGTGCCAGTGGACTTTGAAGAGGTGCACGTGAGCTCCAGCGCTGACGAGGAGGATATCCGCAATGCCATCATGGCCATCCGCAGGAATCGCGTGGCCCTGAAGGGTGAGCGCTGCCCACTCCCTTGCTCCCCCAGCTGGCCCTCGCGCTGGCCCACGGCTATGAGCGCAGGGCTCTTCCGGCTAGGGAGGCTCCTTGTGTCTGCACGGAGGCCGACACACCTCAGTGCCCCCTGGGCACGCTGCCATCCGGACCGCTTCAGCGAGGAGGCAGGCTGGCGGGACCCTGGGCTCTGCCTCTCGGGCCTCTTCCCGCCTCATCCTCCTTGTCGGCCTGGTCCCTGCCCGCGCAGTGTCGTCCTTCCCGAGGTGTCGGCGCAGCCTCTCTGCCCTCAGCCTGCCGGCTGGGCGCCGTTGGCGTGGCTGTGCTCTGCTGGGTCTGGCCCTCCCGAGTTTGCCTGAGTCTGCTCCAGACCCCAAACTGTAACCCCCACTTACTTCGCAAGCTTCGGCCCATCGCCTACTCACATGAGTGAGCTGGAGCTGGGGAGCACCGGCCCTGGGGCCGCCTGCAGCCACAGCATGCTCAGGTCTGAGCGGAGGCGCTCAGGGAGTGGTGACCGGGTCCACGTGGCACCCCCAGCTGCCTTCTCCCCACTGTGCTGGCCCCCACCGGCCTAACTCTGGGTCCCACTAAGGCCAAGCTGCCATCTTTCCAGACAGCCCCCGTCTGTCCCGAGCTAGGGTTCTTGTGACACCTTGATGCAGAGCCCAGCAATAACCCTGGTCAAGGTCGCCCTGCTGGCGCCAGCCTGGCTGGCCTGCCGGCCCTCGCCATTCCACACCCGCAATCCAGCAGGTCCTCCTGGCCAGCTGCCCTTTCCTGTTCACCTACTCGCTCCCTCATTCATTCAGTGGGTTCTGCGTGCCTACCCTGGGCCAGGTGCTCGTGGTCCTTGACGCCCCCAGTGATGCAAACCTGCCCCCAGGACCTGCCCCTGTGGGGCTGCCGTGAGCAGGCCATGCTAGTAGCTTATGATGTTTTACTGCTGCCAGGAGCAGTGTTGGCACGTGTGCCCTTGGTGAGGGAGGGCAATAGGGTGGCCCTGATGAGCCTGGGGGGGCCCCTCTCCAGCTTGTCTTGTTTCTGGGCCGTAGGTAACATCGAAACAAACCATAATCTGCCACCATCCCACAAGTCTCGGAACAATATTCTTCGGTGAGAGCCCAGTGCGTGGGGTGGGGGCTTGGGCAGGGGCAGGGGGGGTGGGGGTGCCAGCAGAGTCGGGACTGGCCCGCTGCCTCTGTGCTCTAGCACCAGCCTGGACCTCTATGCCAACGTCATTCACTGTAAGAGCCTGCCAGGCGTGGTGACCCGCCACAGGGACATTGACATCCTCATTGTCCGGGAGAACACAGAGGGCGAATACAGCAGCCTGGAGCATGAGGTGTGGCGGCCACCCTGCCCTGGTGGGTGGTGGGGGGCCCAGCAAGGGTCAACATTGAAGAAAGGGGACCTCAGGGTGACTGATCTTGGAGAGCGGGCTCGGACACGGTGCAGGTCTCCTCTCCCGTGCCCTCCTCAGAGCGTGGCGGGAGTGGTGGAGAGCCTGAAGATCATCACCAAGGCCAAGTCCCTGCGCATCGCAGAGTACGCCTTCAGGCTGGCCCAAGAGACCGGGCGGAAGAAAGTGACGGCTGTGCACAAGGCCAACATCATGTATGCCCGCCCTCACCCCGCTCTGCAGTGACCAGGGCCGGGCGCCCCAGGGCAGGCCTCTGCCTGCTGCCTAGTCGGAGCCTGTCGGTCTGCTCTCGGGGAGGTGGGACGGGTCAGGCCACTCTGGCAGTTGGGGACTGGTTGGAAGTCAGAACCCAGCCGGCGCAGCCCGCTCGCAGCCAGCCGGCAGCTGGTCCTTGTGTCCTCCAGGAAACTGGGCGACGGGCTCTTCCTCCAGTGCTGTAAGGAGGTGGCGGCCCGCTACCCCCACATCACCTTCGAGAGCATGATTGTGGACAACACCACCATGCAGGTAGGGCCCTGCCCCCTTGAGCTGCCCGGGGTGCCCTGGCTCCTCGGGCTCTGAGCCACCTGCCTGCCCCTCCTGACCCGCAGCTCGTGTCGCGGCCCCAGCAGTTCGATGTCATGGTGATGCCCAATCTCTACGGCAACATCGTCAACAATGTGTGCGCCGGGCTGGTCGGGGGCCCTGGCCTCGTGGCTGGCGCCAACTACGGCCACGTGTACGCCGTGTTCGAGACGGTGAGGCGCTCCGCGGGCGGCCCGGCCCGGCCCGCACCCACACGCACGCACTTCCTGTCTGCCCGTGGAAGTGCTGCCCGGCGCCTTCAGAACATGCGCTCCCGGAATGCTGTCGCCACCCCCAGGGTTTCAGGGCCTGCTCTGCTCTGTCTGCTGGCTTTGCCTCTTCCCCACACCCCTGGGGGGGTCGCGTACATGTGACACCCTGCACTCAAGGAGCTGCCGGGGGCTGTGCGCTGAGCTTTTTCCGTGTCATGGATGCCCCTCCCCGGGGAGCCTCTGTAAGGCTCTTTGAAACATGAAGGTAAAATTCACAGCAGAACGAAACCAGTTCAGAGTGAACCTCTTGGGGTACTAAGTGCACCCCCTTGTTGCGCAGCCATCCCTCTGCCTAGGACCAGAATGTTTCCTCTCTCCCCTCAAGGAAACCCTGTCCCCGTGAGCAGTGGCCCCCCGGACATTTCCCACAAGCGGAAGCGCACGCCCTCCATTCCCTCACGCCGCGCCCTGCTCCCTCTCGCCCCTCTCAGGCCACCAGGAACACGGGCAAGAGTATCGCCAACAAGAACATTGCCAACCCCACGGCCACACTGCTGGCCAGCTGTATGATGCTTGACCACCTCAAGTAAGCGGCGCCCCGCACCCCGCCTGCAGCCCCCGGGTGGCCCACAGACCGGGACTGAAGGCCACTCTCCCCTTTAGGCTCCACTCGTACGCCGCCTCCATCCGCAAGGCCGTGCTGGCATCCATGGACAATGAAAACGTGAGGCTCTTCCCTTGCTTGGTGCCCCTGACCCCCCCGCCTGGGCTGGGACGGGGAATTCCCCCCTGCTGCTCACCGCTGGCCTCCAGGGGAGGGCTTCTGGGCCTTCGCCAGGACCACTCACCGCCTGCAGGGAGGGCGGGTGTCAGCGGGGCCTGGGTGTGCCCAAGCTGCCCATCTCTCGCAGATGCACACCCCGGACATCGGGGGCCAGGGCACGACCTCGGGAGCCATCCAGGACATCATCCGCCACATCCGCATCATCAATGGCCGCGCTGTGGAGGCCTAGGGCGCCCGGCCGCCCCAGTGTGCCCTTCAGGCCCCTTTCCACCCCGCCCTGCCGGCTCGGTGGCGGGCCCAGAATAAAGCCGCCTCTGCACCCGGGACGCCGAGTGTCAGCTCACGCTTTATTAAGAGGAGCAGCCTGCGTGTCGCCCCTCGCCCGCCCGCCCGCGCTTCCCGGATGCAGGGCCTAGGGCTCGAGCCAAGGGTGGCGGAGACAGTCGGCCGCGCTGGCGCGCTTCTCGGGGATGTACTCCATCATGGGCAGCAGGAAGGCGCTGAACTGCGTGGCCTGCTCCAGGGGCCACTCGTACTTCTCCATGAGCACCTCATATAGGCCCCAGTGCTTGAGGTTGTGGATGTGCCGCAGCTCTCCTGGGGGAGCGGGTGGGGTGAGCCTCTGGCTCCTGGGAACCCGTGC